TTTTTTTTTTTTTTTTTTTTTTTGGGTGTGTAGATAATCGTCGGAGTTGCATTGGTTTCAATTATGGAGATGATGTGATATTCTGTTTCTCGTGTGGCTAATCTGGCGTATTTTTCTCTGTTTTTTGTGTTTAGATATGACATGAATCTCATTTTCATTCAGTAGGTGAAGTGTTAATAATGGTAATTGAACTGAAATTTGCAGGAGTTTTGAGTTATCGTTCACGGAGTGAATTTTTGGAGATCTGTTTGTGGATAAGGGTGGAAAAACAGCATGCGGTGGTGTCTGAGTCTCTCTGTTGATGTTTTCCGCAAAGTCATTTCGTTGAATTTATACTGTAAAGTTATTCTGTAATTGTTGTCCGATCGAAGAGATCGATCTTCCTTTCTCCCTCTTCATATTCTTCAACAGTTATCATCCATGGGATCCAGTTTTTTCGTCGTTGTTCCTTGTTATGTCCTCCAGATTAGTTGAAATTTTTGATCTGTTTCTCTTGACCTTCCTTCTCTTTGAGAAACTAGGTTTAGTTTTCCTACTTCCTTTTTCAGTCTTCTTATATTCAAGTGCGCGCGAAGAAGGTGCTTTACTGCTTTGTTTAGTAAGCTGAGAATCTCATTCGGTCTTAGTGGGCGTATCTTTTTTGTTTGCGAAATACGGAGACTGTTAGTTATTCCTCTCTGGACAATTTCCATACTCAAGGGCTAGGGTTGTAGTTATGGTGTGCCAAGCGGCTACAAAAACAAGATTTCGAGCATTAAAACACGAAAATGGGATTGCTGGAACTGCCACCATAATCGTTAGAGTCATCGCATGCTTTCAACCTCTCCAGGATTGTCAGGTTCGTAATCAATGCCTTTAATGCCATCTTTATAACCGATAAGATTTTGAGTGGCTGTTATTAATATCCCATTTCTTTCTTGATGAAAAAACATGATTGCATATGAACTCATGCCCATTTTTATACTTTTTCCAGGCTGAGTACTTTCGTCATTTGCTGAAACCAGTCACGTAGATAGATTCTGTAGTTTTGCGTTCATATTAAGGTGGCTTATTTTCTTATTTGTGTTCATCCTGAGAGATACGGAAACTGCAATCACTAGTTTTCTACACCCTATTTCTGGTATGTGTTGCTCGTTCTCTCTGCTTTAATTTCTGGCATGCTCTGTTCTTCCAGATATTTAGCTGTTGTTATTGATCTCGTATAGGTAAAACTGTTTTGATTGGATGGGCGAAGCTTGGGAAGCTGGACATCCCACTGAGTTTCTTTCCGATTGGCATCCATCTCTGCTAAATTCTTTCGGTATTGTGCCGACCATGGGTCAACCTAATCCCACTGCATTAAGTATTGGCAACAATATGGTCATGAAGAACGAAACCTTTTCAGTCAACAACGAATTAAAGGTCCCTCGGTTGCAGGTAGGCCCAGTAAATGAACCGTGTAATTGGTTTCATTGCTTGGGACCTTCACAGCAAGCCTTTTTACCTGTGAAGGGTCCTATTTACACTGACAATCTAGCAGTTCCATTCAATGGACTTTCCAAGGAGGCTGTGGCACCACTTTCTGGCTCTGGAACTCAGCAGAAGGGATTTCTTGTCGTTGATCAGTCTGCAGATAAAACAACTTTGGTTTTATGTTCAGGAGGTGGTGGTCCTCTCCAGCTACTTACTTCATGGACTCCACAACCTAATGCTGCTTGTCAACTTAATGGAGAAGATTTTGGAAATAAACGAGACTTCATTTATGACTCAAGACAAGTTTTGTCAAACGATTTTGCTTACGATCATGAAACTTTCGACCAGAGTGAGATGCAAGAAGACACAGAAGAACTCAATGCTCTCCTCTATTCAGACGATGAATGTGAATTCGATGAGGACGATGAAGTTACTAGCACTGGCCATTCACCAAGCGCAATGACAACTAAAGATAAACATTATCCATGTGAGCAAAATAACGAAGAAGTTGCTAGCTCCGCAGGTTCGACTAAGAAGCGTAAAATTGACGGATGTTATGATATAACGTCACTAACAGACACTGCAAGTTCACTGATGACTCGAAGATCCCCCGAGTACGAGAATGATGCAGAATCTAGTTGTGGAAATGAAGGGAGTCGGGATATGCAGGATGTGGATTCCTCACAGGTCAACAAAAAGAGGAAAAAGGAGAAAATACGTGAAACTGTAGGGATTCTCCAGAGTTTAATTCCGGGCGGGAAAGGCAAAGAGGCCATCGTTGTACTGGACGAGGCAATTCAGTACTTGACATCTCTTAAGGCTCAAAGCTGAGGCGGCATTTGGGCCTGATGATGCTTTCAGTATTTCTCTATATGTTTACATGTTTTAGTTTGTGATCAGAAAACAATGGTGGACCATGGTGAATAAGTTGGGAAACGTCATGCAAATGGTTGATTGATTTTCAGGTAGATTTGAGGTATGCTGGATATCATCGTAGGTGGGAAGTCTGAACAATTCTGAAGCCGTTCTCCAATGATTAGAAATCAGCAACGAAAGTGGGTGTAGTGCTGGTAGTGGCAATGGTAAGATGTCTTTAAAAGTGGAGAAGAATGATTAGTCTAGTCTTGTTATTAAAAGAGGGGGAACACCCCCACCCCCACCCGAACAAGTGGAATGGTTCGCGATTACTGGTGGTGGGGTTCAAAAGAAGGTCCCAAATAAGGAAGTGCACGCCCTTGTTTACTAAGCCCGCCTACCCTACACTCCTTTCTCCACTTGTGCCTTAAATTTGCAGGTAATCAAGCTGTCAAAGCTTCCACTTTCTGGGACTTTCATGCAATGTGAAAAGGAGAAGAAGACCATCCAAATGGGTTTGGTTTTGAGTTATAATTATTGTTGAGGGATCGAGTTAGTTTTGGGTTGGTGTCTTTATGCGTGTGTAGTAGCGTCGCATGCAAGCATTTATGGTCATGAGAGCGATGTGTTTGCTAATCTTTCCTTTTGGCTGCAAGTGTAGCGAGGAGAGAGGGAGAGAGAGAGAGGGAGAAAAGAACAAGAGATGATGATGATGATGATGTGTCCTGTTGAAAGATGGGAGGCGGGGCCAGCATGAGGGGCAGCGTGTTTGTGCATTATTAAGGAAAGAGAGGGGATAATGGCATCTCTGATTGTGTGCAAGATGTGTCCCGCGTGTGAGATTTGATCAAAACGTCATCTTTGCTGATGATAGGCCATGTTTATGGGTTAGTATTCTTCCTTTTATGTCAAAATTATGGAATCTCAAATTACCCTTCCTTTTCTTTTTTATTTCTTCTGTAAATTTTGTTGTTGTGGTTTGTAATATTACTCCCTGAGTCACATAAATTTAAAAAATAACTTTTATGTCGTGCATATTATCTCAAGCTCTTGTGACCTTGTTTTAGGTTTTTCTTAAATGCCTTGTAATCAAGGTTCTGTTAGGATATTCTTTCTCGTTGGAAACACGAACCTCTATAAGAGTATGATATTGTTCATTTTGAGCATAGGACTCTCTCCACACAATAAAGGGGTTACCCCGAAAGGAGACAGAGTGACTTATGATATTGTCCACTATTAAAGTTCTGTTAGGAATTATATATCTCTATGATGGTATGATATTGTCTACTTTGAGAATGAATTATCATGATTTTGTTTTTAGTTTTCTTCAAATGTCCCGTTTTGTTAAGAACTACCAACTTCCACAATAGTATGATATTGTCTATTTTGGACATCACTCTCATATTTCCTCAAAAGACCGAATATCAATTGAGATGTATTTTTTATTTATAAAGTTCTCATGATCAACCCCTTAATTAGTCAATACGCAACTCTTCTCAACACAAGGATTCTGATTAAATTTCAAACCATGCCATTAATTAAATCTATATACTCAATTCCAAGATAATACATTTTGGAATTAATTATATGGTTGACTCATTCCGATATCATTAAATCTTTTAAACTATGACCCATTTAGAATTTATCTGTTTTGTACGTTAAGAAGGAAATTCATTAAAACTCTGAAACATATTTGAATTAGGTAAAACATTTAATGTTCCTTCAAATTTTGTACCTTTCAATTCAGATATATTGGAATTCTTATTATGGTGAACATCATAATGCCAAATCATATACTTTCCAATTACGTCATTTAAGATAAATATTAAAACAAATTTAATTCGAATAATTCAAACCAAAACTTTACTCTCTTTAATAAATCACAAAAATAAATACATGCATACCATAAGTTTTGTTTTGTTTTTAATTTATTTTTTTAGTTAATTAATTATTAAATTATCATATACTAAATATAAAAAAAATAGATAATTAATGTAACTATCCACATCCACAAGTAGATATTGTCCTCTTTGAGCTTTCCCTTTCGCGCTTACCCTCAAGGCTTTAAAACGTGTTCTCCTCCCACTCTCTCCTTCCTCCAATCGATATGGGACCGCCTCCAAATCCACTCCCTTTGAGGCTAGCGTCTTTACTGGCACACCGCCTCGTGTCTACCCCTTTCAGGGAACAGCGAAAAGGCTGACATATCGTCTAGAACCTGGCTCTAATATTATTTGTAACGACCCAAATCTACCGCTAGCCAATATTATTCTCCTCTCAAGAAAGGTGGGACATCACAATTAAAAAAAAAAAAAAAAGAGAGATAATCATGCCTGAATTGAAGAGTGGTTTTTATTTTATATATTAGAAGACAAAACCTCTACACAATTTCAATAGAATTTTCTTCTTACCTTTTCTCCACTCAAAAATTAATAATAATAATAATAATAATAAAAAGGAGTTGTTGACCGTGGAACTCAAATTTACTATTATTTATTTATTTATTTATTTATTTTGTAAATGGAAATTAATATAAAATGAGGATGGCATACCATATATAAAGTCACCCACAGAAACACGCTTTGTTGGTACTCCCATTTGGCTCTTACCCTCAAACTCCTTCATTCATTCATCATCAGCAAAGCTTCACAATTCTCTCTCCCCTGTTTTCTCTCTCTAGATGACATCAACCGGAGCAGCCGCCAGTTCGCCGTCGGAAGCAGAGTGCTGCATGTGCGGAGATTTCGGCTTCTCCGACGAGCTTTTCCGGTGCAAAATCTGCCAATTCAGATCCCAACACAGGCAATTTCCTTCAAATTCTTTGTTTGTTCTTAATTGGGTTGATGATTTTAATACCCATTTGTTGTTCTTGCTGTTGTTCTCAGGTACTGTAGCAATTTGTACCCAAAAGCCGATTGTTACAGAATATGCAATTGGTGTCTAACTCAAAAGGAGGAATCAAAAGCCAAATCCCCAAATTCCTCCAATTCTTCTTCCTTAAGCACTCGAGATGATTACTCCTCGATCAAAACCCCCCGAAACAAGGATCAAATTCGCACTTTTCTACCCCTACAAACCAGACCCATCAAAAAACAGAGGTCGCCGGAAGCTTCTGAACGTCCACAACCACCGCCGCCTCCGCCGCCACCTCGGAGAAAACCGATCGCCGTGGAGGAGAATCTCCGGCGGACGAGATCGGAGGAGATTTCGCACCGAAGTGGAATCCAACGGCCGGTGATTTTCCGGAACAAGGTGAGAAGGTACAAACTTCTTGACGAGGTTTCCAGCTGAATTTTGTTTCTTGCAAAAACCAAACACACAGATGATTTGAATCGTTTGATGGGTTTTTCCTTCAAATTTAGTGGAACAGAGAAGGGAATCCAGAAGCTTCTTGGATGAGTGGAAGAGCATTTTAGCGATGTTCTTTCTTTCTTCTTTTTTTTTTTCAAACGATAAATATGTAAAAAAAAAAGTCACTAAATTATATGTTGATGATAATGTCATAAAAGAAGTAAAAAGATGAAGGAAGGCTAATACGACATATCATATTTGTGACAGACCAATCATGTTCTTCCATCTTCACAATCATAATTTTTCTTTTTTTGAGGGCTTTGCTTACTTTTACTAATATCGTAATAATTAAGACAAATTATATCTAATCACTTATGTTTAATTTTTTAAAAAATTGATTTAATTTTCAATTAGATTTTAGGTTTTCAAATTTATATCTAATAGGTTACTGAGTGTTTAAGTCGTCTACTTTGGCTTGTTACTGTCGTCTCATAGTTTTAAAATGGGTTTGGCTGATGGTGATACGTAATGGGCTAAAGCAGACAATATCTACTGTGATGGGCTTGAAATGTTACAAAAAATTATGAGGCTGATAAGAGGCTAATAGTGGAAATCTCTTCTCTATAGACACGTTTAAAATTTGTGAGACTAATGACGATACGTAATGAGCTGAAACGAAACGAACAATATTTGCTAGCAGTGGGCTTGGACCGTTACAAAAAATCATTAGACTAACGGTGTGCTAGCTGTAGAAACTTCGCACTTTAAAACCGTGAGATTGACGACGATACGTAACGAGCCCTTAGACTGTCACAAAAAATCATGAGGTTAACGATGTTACGTAACAAGTCAACGCCTCCCTCCCGGTACAAAAGAACCTATTTTTAATGATTTTGTGGTAGGCAACCATAAAATTAAATTATGGCACAAAGTCGCTCCATTTCACTTCATCTGGGGATCGAACCTAATCTTTGCTATCATAACTTAGTTGTCAATGAGCTGTGTTCTTTTTCTTTTTCTTTTTCTTTTTATATATAATAATCCCATCATATCCTTTTTATTCCTTTTGCTTTCTTAATAAATAATTAATAAAGATTACTATTAATTATTTCAGAAGTAGACCAACTGATTATACAATTGGAAGTAGGCCCATAAGTAAGCCCAATGGGCCATACCTCCTTCTAGCCCAATACCAGAACTTTCTCCCTACAGGGCCCACAAAATAAATAAATAAAAATAATTGATTTTTCTTTTGGGTTTCGGTGGAAATAAAGTAGAAAATTGTAAATATGTTTAGTCAAATGTAATGGACCCACTTAGAGCACCACCATTAATGAATTGTCAGTAAAGGAAACCCACTCTTCCCAATATTTAAAATTTATTTATTTATTTATTTATTTATTAACACTATGTCAAAATTAGTTTGAAAATTCGTCCAAAGTAAACATTAATTAATTAATTAATTAAATAACGAGAAAATGGCATTTTTCTAATATTCATTTCCATTTATTTTCCTACGGAATTAAGTGATTTGCAACCATAATAATTAATATTTTATTTTTTATCACCGCAAGATCAAGACGACGTCGTGTTTCCCATGGTAACATTTAATGCATATTTCAACTAAAACTTTCTACTAAAGTTGCCATAAATACAGTCCCAATTTTTCAGTAAATGCGCCAACCAAAAAATTCCCGCAATAAAATTAAAAATTAAAAGAAAAAAATGATTTTTTAATTATTTTTATTTATTTTCTCAACCAGTAATAAATAATGGTCTCTTCATTATTATTATTATTATTATTATTATTATTATTATTTTGTTTTAGAAATAAAGCGTGGACCCAAAATTGAAATGGGGGAGCCGGGAAATTGATAAATAAATAATAATTAAAAAAAAAATAAAAATGAAGAAGAAAAAGTCGAAGCTGCACGATTTTGCATGCAGAAAAGGCTGATTATTACAACGATGAAATAATATTATTATTTTTTTAAAAAAATTGAATTATTGGGATTTAATTAATTTCCCCCTTTGTTCTTCCCATTCCCTTCCCTTTCAATGGATTTCTTTTCTATCTGTTCTGCAGAGTCTGCCATAGCCACTTGCGGCGGCGATCTCAATTGCAAACGGAATAAGCCTTTTGAAATCCGCCATTTTCGCTATTCCGAGCTTGTTTCCTCTACTAATGGCTTCTCCGCCGACTGTTTCTTGGGCAAAGGCAGCCACGGCAGCGTCTACAAGGCCGTCCTCGACGCCGGCAAGCTCGTCGCCGCCGTCAAACGAACCAAATCCCCAAACCCATCTTCTAATTTCCACCATTACAGATGCCATAGCTCATGCCAATTCGCCGGAAATACTCCGGCGGAAAACGAAATTGAGATTCTCTCGACGATTCGAAACCAGAGAATCGTTAATCTCATTGGGTTTTGCGTCGATTCCACTGAGAAATTGATCGTCGTTGAGTTTATGCCCAATGGGTCTCTTTACGATCTGCTCCACTCGCGATCTTCCCGACCGCCCGGTTGGACCAGACGTGTCCGCTTCGCGTTGCAAGTCGCGAAAGCGGTGAGGGATCTTCACGCGTCGAATCCGCCGGTTATTCACAGAGATATTAAGTCGTCTAACGTTTTGATTGACGGTAACTTTA